TAGCAAGATAACCCTAAGTTCAGCAATTGTAGGTGGGCAAAATTTAATAACAGAAGAGAAGCCGGTTAAAAATTAACCATGGCTGTCCCTTGCAAGGCCTTCACACGTTGCTGATTGTGATAAGTTGGAAACAGCCCCGTTAACATTGAATTTGACCTAACCAGAGCTTTGGGGAATCCATTTTAATTAGTATTGATCAGAGACCAAGCTAGAGATGAATTTGATACTATTCCTACAACAAAAAAAATAGAAGTCAAAATCAGAGTTTACTTTCTTAACCAAGATATTGGGCTGGACAGAGCAGCTTTGAAAAATAAAAGCATTCCTATCCTTCCAAATGTGCCACACAATCATACTAAAAAGTTTATTCCAGCCATGAAAATTACTAAAACTAGAAGTAGACAAATTCAATCTCAACCAGATAGGCAAACCATAACTCAAAGAAGGAACAATTTGGCTAGGTAAAATAAACATATTCCAAATAATATTAGCATAAAAACAATCACTAATGACATATATGATGGTTTTCATGGCCTCACTACATCTAGGACAAGTTGAATTTTCAGTCATTCTTCTCCTGAATCTTTCTTCATTAGTGAATAGTTTGCCATCAACTAATTTCCACAAAAAAAATTTTATGGTAGAGAAACCATCCCATTTCCACACAAGGTTAAAAATATCAAAGGATGAATTAGCTGGTTGATACTTACCGATTATCATCTGATAAGCTGACTTAATAGAGAATATTCATTATTATTAGAGTGTCAAAAAAATAAATCTTGACCCTCATCTATAATAGGGGGTTTGTTTGAGCAATATATTGACAAACATTTGCAGGAAGCATAACATTTAGTCTATCCCAGTATCAATTATTCCCTTTAGTGAATAAACAAATAGGAAGATCAAGATCTTCATGTAAAACAGGGGAGATAGTCATTGTGTTGAGGTTATCAATTTAGGGATTCCACCTATCTGTCTAGAATTTTGTGGTCATTCCATCCCTTACAACCCAACTAAGACCTTAAGAGAAGAGAGGCCAAACAATAGTAAGGCTTTTCCATAAATGGGAGCATTGCTGGCCTCTATTACAGCTAGGTTGCTTTCCAAGGGTGAAATTATATTTATGTCTAACCACTTGGCCCCATAAATCAGAGGGAGAATTTATTAAGCGCCACCAGAGTTTCAATAAATAAGCCTTATTCAGCAAGTGCAGATCCCTGAAACCTAGAGCCCCATCCTTTTTAGGCTTACAAATTTTTTTCCAGCCAATTAAATGGTAATTTATCCACCCAAGGGAGCCCCAGATAATTTTTTTTATAAATGGTATTAATTTTATTACAAATAGAGGTGGAGATGAGTTAGGTTTGCATAACATACACAAGAATGCTCATAATGCAAGATTGAGTAAGAGTAACTCTACCAGCTAAGGACAAGTTGTGCATCTTCCAAAGAGACAGTTTATTCCTAACCTTATCAATGAGAAAGTTAAACTGATTCTTAGTAGGCTTTAGATGAGAAGAGAGAATAATACCTAAAAGATAACTGATGGAATGAATTAGGGAAACCTGAGTATTCTTAGAGAAGAAAATGAATGATTTAGTGTAATTAATAGAAAGACTAAAGGCAGCACTGAATTTCTATAAAACAAATTGGATGATATTAGCATGCTTCATATCAAATTTAGCAATTAACAGAATGTCATCAATTATTAGCAAAGAATAAATGGGACAACTTAGGACCATGATTCCCAAAAGAAAAAAAGGTTTCAACTACCTTCCAATATGTTGTCCTTAATTAAATGAGTCAGTCTTCCAATACACATTATAAAAATATAGGGAGAGAAAGGGTCTCCCTGCCTAATCCCTATGGAAGGCTAAAAATTGTTAGAATTCTCTTTATTCCAAATTAAAGACATAGTAGGAGAGGAAGTACAATAATCGACTATCTTAATAAAAGCAGAATCAAAGCCAGCTATTTTCAGGGTGTCAGTAATGAAACTCCATCTAAGTTTTTATCATAGGTTTTCTCCATATCCAACTTAAGAATCATATAACTTTTTTTACTTTTTATCCGAGAGAAGGAGTGTAAAAGCTCATGAAGTATAATGGAGTTGTCTATCCCCTGTCTACCAAGGATAAAACTGTATTGATTAGTAGAAATGAGGTAAGGTAAAGAATCCCTTAACCTATTAGCTATGATTTTTGTGACAATTTTGTAACTGACATTGCACAGGAAAATGGGTCTAAAATTTTTAATAGATTCTGGATGTTCAGATTTAGGAATTAGATAGATACTAATTTCATTAACTACTGAGATAAGGCTAGGATTATCAAAGACCTCTTGTACAAACTTAAGAATGAAAGGGCCTAGGAGTTGCCATTAGTTTTTAAAAAATAGTGCATAGAGACCATCTTGGCCAAGGGACTTGACATTCTCTATGGCAAATAGAGTTACTTTCACTTCATCTAAAGAAAATCTTTGAATATAATCGAGAATTATCATTGCCTCTAAGAGTAGGAAAAGAGTGTTGACTTTGAAGGGAAAAATTACTAGGAGAGGGATCAAAGTATAAGTCTTGAAAACAATTTAGAATCATATTTTTTATTTTAAAAGGATCTAGCTCCCAATTTTCCTCCTCATTCCTAAGGAATTTAATCTTATTTTTATTCCTACGAATGGTGGCTACTAAATGAAAAAACCTAGTATTCCTATCACCTAAAGATAGTCAGTTGGCCCTATATTGATGATACCAATAAGCTTATTCTTGATTCATAATAAATTGATACTCCTTCCAAAGGGAAACTATCAATTTGCTCAAAAAAAGATTGGACCCACTAGCTAATTTTTTATAAATTTCTTTAAGTCTGCTGAGCAACCTCCTTTTCCTTTGAAAAATATTGCCAAAGACATTTTTATTCCAGTTAGAAATATTATTCTTAAATCTATTAACATTCTCATACCAGGAACTAAAGAAAAGTCAAGAATTCTTAACTTGGATATGAAAATCCTTATGGAGACCCAAGGAGCAAGAAACTTAAGCGATTTAGGAGGAGAATTATGTATATTTCAAAAACATTTTTTTTAAAAAAATGTGTTCCAAGCTTGCGAACACTGCTAATAGGAAAGGTAGTCACACATACATGAGTTTGGATCGAAATGTTATATTTTAGTATAAATCAATCAATTCAAATTTAAATTATTTAAATGTTGAAACGTTGCATTTGTTATTACTTTAATTGTCATAATTATTTACTTTAATGATTGAAATTATTCCAATTAATATTATGATAATTATGGTAATTATTTTAAAATTGTTATTTGTATATATTTTTGAAAAATTCCACTTTCTTAATATAATTTTAGTCACTTTCTCTTTCCCATATCTTTTATTTTTCTAATTTTATTTTATAATTTTTTTGTTAGTTTTGTTCTCAGTGTCATTCAAGAGGTATTGCAGTATTCTAAGAGATTATGTAAATAAATTTTTAAAGTCAATGTTATCACACGTCTCATTTTTAATGCTTAAAAATGAAATTATAACTCATTTTTAAAAAATTAAAAATGTTAAAATTTTATTAAAAAATATTAAATTTTTATATTTCTAATGTAATGAATACTTTTTCTATCAATAAAATATTATACTTATAATTATCTTAATTAAGGGGTGATATTAATTTTTGTGTGAAATTCTTAGATTAAACTTAATATCAATTGAACTTTATTTATGTATTAATGCTTAAAACTCATTTCCCTAACTACTCTGAAATGATTGATAAACTTGAATTGGTTCTAAGAAAAATGACCAGGGTTGTGTCGTGTACGACAAGCAAGAAAGAACTTAATTTTATTTTGACTTGATTGCAATACTCATGCCGAAAATATTTAAAGAAAATAAGTGACTATTTATTTAAAAGAACTTAAACCAAACATGCATTAAATTATTGATAAAAAATTTCAAAAAAGCGTCATATTTCCCTTTATAAACTAAAATCATTATAATAATTAACGAGATATTTTATTGTACTTTGTTTCTAAACGCCTAATGCCTAAGGATTGCTAGTTAATGGATATTGGCTACAATTTAATAGTTGCAAAAATAGTGTTTAATAAAAAAGAAATCCATTAACCTTTGGAAATGAGTTTGAGCTCCACGATGATACATGGACACATTGTGTTATTCTTCTATTCATTCTTGAAAACAAAAGATATTATTTGAAGCTATTTGATCATTAAAAATATTACTAAGTGTCAAATTTAATTAGTAAATAGTTTCACTAATTGAATACTAGTTTAATTTTTTAGACCATACACTAATTCTTAAAAGATGTCTAATTAGCCTTCTAGTCACAAAAGTTTGGCTAAATATGTTGATTTAATTGATTGTTGGCTAATTAATCAAAGAGTTGATGACAAACCAACAAAGGTTGATTTAAGTGGCAAACAATTTAGTATTATTTAACTAAAGTTTTAGATTTGAGCTCTTACGTATGTAAAAAAAAAATTTAGTGATAAATTTATCCACCACATTCAGGTGCATAACTCAAGTTGGATTTGAATTAAATCAGATAGAAAAAAAAAATATTGATGACAAAAGTCAATTTAGCGGGGGTTAAAGTATCATGAATTCCAACCAGGTATTTTATGTATTTTTTGTTGCTTTAGTATAATTTACTATAAAAAAAATTAAGATCCGTTCTTTTATTATGTTGTGCGTTGTGAACACTGCATGAAATATCAATCCCAAACAAATATAGAAGATATGATTATGTGCAGTTGGCCTGCTAAAACTAGCTAATCAAATCGGCAGATGCCACGAGCCAGTCCCAAGTAAACCGCACTCATTGCAATTTTGTGCAAACATTAACACATAAGCTATAGATGATTGCAATAATGAATAACAAACCCAAATACCAATTGCATTCTTGAATGACAGTATTGCTCCATTCATATTTATTTTGCAACCAATGTGGTGGTGGCGATGATGATACAAACCTCGAGTGAACAATATTTTAAAAATTAACTATTGAGGTCAGTGAGCCTAATACCATATTAATAGTGCAACTGTATACTTAAAATTGTTCAATGAGAGCATTTTAACTAAACCTTTCTAGCAATCTATCTTATATTTTCTAATAGAAAGAAATACGACAACACTAAAAAAATCAAGCTATAGATATTGAAAAATAAATTACAACTACATTGGAGAGGATCATGCCCAAATTGCAAGTAAAGACATCAATCCAGCCCCAAGAAAAAGTAAACAGTAACATATTATCTGTAGCCTAAAGTTACAACGCATTTTCTTGCTATGAAAATCAGCAGCTATTAAGTCCACTAAAGCCATATACACTAAGATTCCAGCTGACAAGGAGTCCAAGATGCCTTCTGTGATGAGTGCTCCTGGACTAAAAGGGTTAAAAACTGAAGCAATACAAGCCCCTATAGCAACACCCAGTGGCGCTGTTAGTGCAAAAAAACATGCCATTATTGTTGATGACAAGGTTCTGAATTGGGCTTGGGAGATGCAACCACCAAGTGCAAACCCTTCAAAGAATTGATGGAAAGACAATGCCACAATTAGGGGTCTCATGGTACAAGGGCTTTGCGAAACTCCAAGGGATAGCCCAATTACAATGGAATGTGACACAATCCCAAGCTCCAATACCTACATACAAGTTCGGATATGACAAAGTTGCATACTTTGTTATTTCTCTCGTATTGTTATTAATCTACAGAACTTCAAGTGATTTTCTTCATGCATACTTTTTATTTTACTGCCACTAGACGTGTGCACATACTAAAAATGAGCAAAAACTATAAAGATAAGTTTTTAAAAAGACATATTTTTAATCCCTACATTATGGTAAATTTTTTATTTTGGTCCCTCTAAATTGTTTTTTTTTTAATTTTAAAATAAATTATTATTTTAAGTCTTTCTAACTGACTTTAACTAAAAATTAACGTTTGATAATATTTTAATAGAATCAGTAATAGAGACTAAATATAAAAAGTTTGTAAAAAAAATAACGACTAAAATAAAAAATTTGCTAAAATATGATAACAAAAAATATATTTAAACTTAAAACAAAAAAGAATACAAAGTTTTCTTTTCAGTCCAGGAATAAAACAAAGTAAGAAAATGTAAATAGCATGGTATTCTTTTTTAGTCCATATTCAAAACTATAAAAACAAGTTAGAAAAATCGTTAAATAAATAATAAGAGTAAGTTTGTTTCCCTTCTAAATTTTTTATAAAAAAATAGAAGATATTTTTTAAAAAGAGAAAAGTGTTTTTTAAAAGAGAAACAAACATTCTTTATATCTCAGATTTTCAATATCCCCAGTTTAATCTAAATCATGTTGAGTGGATTCAAATATGAAAATAAAGTTTTTACAATGTGCGTTTTTTGTATTTACAAGACTTCGAAACTTCAAAAGAAATCTCTCTCAAGTCTAAAATCTACTGTAGAGAGGTGCCATCATGCAGTGAGAATGTCATTGAATAGGATCTCTTCCCATTTCGAGTTGGTCCATTTTCAATACTTTTAACCAAACTATAGATACTCTCAAACTCCGTTTCCATAAAGGACGAAAAAATCACTGCCATTCAACCTCATTTTCATTGCATCAGGATTCATGCAACTCAATTCTCAATGGGTAAAACAAACAAGTACTACAGCTGCTCAACTACAATTGATTGTATTTGACAAATCAACCTCCTCCTCACGGCTAGACCATCAAATTTTTCAAAAAAGTAAACAAAATATTGATGGACGTACTATAGCACGCTGCTTAGATACCAAGCAACTAGAAATGAATCAAATGATGTATACACGTAATACTATAACAAGTAATACTATAATCTATGGTCAACAAGCTAGTAATACTATAACAGAGAAGAAAAGATGATGAATGAATGGTGGTAATGAGAAGTATGTGAATTATAATTCCGATAATAGTGCAAGTCAATCAATTCCAATAAAGAGAAAACGCAACCATGCATGCCTTCGGACTTCTTTACAAGAAAAGAATATTCCTACGTTCAAATTTCACTTGAGCAAGTTTTATATTACTTATTTCTTAATTGATATAAAACAAATAAAATATGTAAAAATTAATAGAAAAAAATAGACACAGCTGATATAAATAGTCTCCCTCCATTTTTTTTTACTGTCAATTAAGATGATAGCACAATATCCTTGTTTGTGTCAAATTTTTAACTTTCTATATTTTAGCAAAATTTTGTCTTCGTCTCTCCGAAATAAGTTTTTTGTTTTGATTCGCTTCATTTTCGTGAATTTTTGTTAGATTACATCGATAAGAGAAACTAAAATAAAAATTTACAAAAATATAAGAATTTTAAAAAATTATTAAGAAATAGAGATAAAAATATATTTAAACCTATTAATTTTCTCATTTATGATAAGTGTATACAGTATTTAAGAATTAAGCAAAAACAAAGATATAACTAAAAGATGCCAATTAATACTATCTTAACTTCTTAACTAAATAAATAGATAAGTTTTTTTTAAAAAGTAAACACAGAAATAAAAAGAAAGCAAAATAAGGGCATGTCACCTGTGAAACGACGACGTGGCGGACAGTACTTTCAACATCATCATGGTAGTGTGGGGAGTTCCCAACATGGGCATGCCCATGCGTGGGGGAGTGTATACGACGAGGCGCGTGAGCATGTTGCATCCCAACCACGTGCAGTCCACCGCTACCCTCTTCCCCAAACACCATTCCAACATCCATAACTTCCACTATTCCCGACTCATCATCCTCACCATCAACCACATCAACAACCTTCCCACGGTGTTCAACGTTCCCACGCCCCTGTTTCCGCTCGTAGTACCGAGTCGCAACAAAGTCAACAAGGAGTGTAAACAAAGCTGACATCATTGCGAAGAAACCGGGAAACGGAAACTTAGACCACGTGTAAGACCCCAAACACGGGTCCTTCAGCGCTTCCGACGCGTCCTTCAGCATGTGCACGAACCCCGTCGCTAATATCACCCCCGCTGCAAATGCTTTCGCTCCTAAAAACGCGTTTCCCTCTGTTCCTAGTAACCCACGCGCTTTCCCCGCTAAAGGAATCGCGATTCCCCCAAATCCCGCGATTAGAATCGACGCCATCGCCACGAATTTCAAAACCAACGCCGCTGATTCGTCTCGGCATAGCTCCAACTCCGTGCTTTTGCAACTAGAACTCGTAACGGATTCGTGTAGGGTTTGCAGAATCGATTCTGTAAACGGAGTTTAGAATCCAGTAAAACATCTTCAATTTTAATAATTCCGTCAATAATATTGTTATATCAGTCCATTTTGATTTCTAAATTTGGTAACCATGGGCGAAAAAAAATGTGATGTTAAAATAAGCTGATTGTAATTTATGATTTCAGAATTGAATTACTGATTAGAAATTGAAATGAAGCCAAGTAAGGAACCTGAGAAGATGTGGAGTAGAGGCGAGAGATCCTGAAAAGAAGAAGAAAACGAAAGTGATAATCAAAAGAATTGTAGAATGAAAGGAAGGATAAGAAAGAAACCTGAAAGAGGAACATGGGAAATAGTAAAGTTTTGAGGGGAAGAAAATGAGAGAGAGTAGTGAAGAGATGGAGTCTGCGGTTACAACTTGGTGCAACGGAGGAAGAGTGTTGATGTCATCATGTCATGTCCACCTTGCTTCCCAAGCTCGTGCCATACCAACTCTATTGCTCGATACACAATATTATAATTTATTCTGTTAATTAACAGAAAATAATAATTTACTTATTCTTAATTTAAATTGTTAGAAGTGTCCTAGCTTAAATAAAAGTCGTCAAAAGATTGCTCAAAGAATTAACCAATAAACTTTTTATAAAAAATATTGTCAACATAATTTTCAAATAATCTTAACATTTTTATTAAAAAATTAATTTATTAATTAGCATTTCTTAGCAAACTTTAGAGAGTGAAATATATTTTTATAAAAGAAATGATTGGATATGAAAGTCCAAAGTCAAAATCCTCCCTCAATGCTTCGATAAAAACATAATACTTTAGGCTTTTGTATTGTATATATTTGTTTCAAATTGGGCTTTGAGCCGAGTACCACTCCTTGCGGTCACAACTATTAGTTATATTTTATCACAAAAGGCACCTAGTAACAAGCCCACATAAAAACCACATTCTTTTTTATCAAATGTAGAAAAATCACGTTAAATCATATTTTAACATAAAAATTATAATTTATAACATTAAAATGTATTATATTTATATTTAAATAAATTTTGACATCAATCCAATCATGTCCGAAGTAAACAAACGAATAGAAGCACAGAGGCACTTAGGGAGGAGAATACGGCATTGAAGTAAGCTGCCCAAACCGGTGCAGCTGCCCAAACCCTTCCAATAGGATGGAAGGTTTAAGTTTTAAATTTGGCATGTAAATTAAATTTTGATTTTTTTAACTTTATTTGATAAAGTCTATGATGATTAAATTCATAAAAATTTACAAATAAGCATGTTGAAGGGCCTAACTCATAATGAACCACTACCCGATGGTTCAAGGATGGAGGCCTCTGTTAAGGCCTAAAGAATATAACCTTAAAAATTTATTTTTTAGGTGTGTCTATCATATTTTTCTCTTGAATTATATAATAATTTTTTTTTGTGATAGACTGGTACTTACTTAGGAACAATGTTAAAAATTGATTGTCATACTTCCCTTCTAACTAGAATCCGCTTTACTAAAATTTGTGTCAAAAATGATCTAAATAAAAAGTTAATTCCATCAGTTAAAGTGTTAGGTCAGGTCTTTAGAATAGAATATAAAGTTCTAGACCTTATTTGATTCCATTGTAACAAATATGGACATAGGTTAGAATCATATGTAGAGATACCTATTACTCATACTGATAAGATAGTCCCTGAGTCCAACTCTAATCCTCTTGAGATTGGAAAGAATGATGAGTCTGTAAACCTTGTTCACCTTCCTAGGAAAAATGCCCAATTCTCTCAAAAAAATATCTTTAGTGGGGAATAGGGTCATTTTAGTCTTTAGATGTTAGCCAAAAAGCTTCTAAAAAAAATCAAGACAATTTAAAGGGTTAATAGGGTCTACTTCTAAAAAAAATATCTCTAGTGGTATATTGCATAATTTTGAGAGTGAATTAAGTCGAATATTCTACCAGCTCAAAACAGCTTACATGAGAATAAGGATAAAACTTGCAAGGAGATCCCAAAACATAAGGAGGGACACAAGCCCAAAATTATAGAGAAAAATATTATAGAGCCTATCAATATTAAATCTTCCAAAAAGCCTCTTGAATCTAGGCCTAAGATCAAGTTTGAGAAATTAGATAAAACTTTAGGGGAGGGGGGAGGAGCCTTCAGGCTAAGGGATTATGTTTAACTAAAACCTCTTATATGTATCCAATTAAGAATGATAATAGAAGTAAGAAGATTTTTTTTATGAGCCAATTGCAACAAGAAATGGAGAAAAACTTATCTAAGTACTGCTCCATTCAAGAATTGTTAGGTATGAATCTTAATAGAGTGTGACCTTTACATATAAAACCTGCTAAACCTCCAGATAAGGACCCTTCAATGGATATGACATTAGTGCATTCCTTAGGTATAGAGGACCAGGAAAACCTTAATAGTCCTCTGGCTTTGGATTCCAGCCTACCTATTTCCCTCCGTCCTTCAAATGCATCCTAATTCTCCTTTATTTTTATAAACTATTTTTTCTGGAACTGTAGAGGTGCTGGTAGTAGATCCTTTGCAAGACTTATCAATGACCTCATGGTCATTTACAAATTAGATTTTCTTGCTTTATTTGAACCTAAGGGTAGCTTAGAGAAGGCAGATAAAATCATTAAAAGAATTAACTTAGATGGTTTTGAAAAAGTGGATGCATTGGGTTTTTTTAGGGGCATTTAGTGCCTCTGAAACACTAATAAGGTTAAAGCTTTTGTACTACCTAAATCAAAGTTTGCTATTCATCTTAGTATTAGTTATAATGGCCAACCTAAGTGGATTCTCTCCTCTATATATGTTAGTCCCCAAGTAAGAATTAGATCTGAATACTGGAATGAACTATCTGAATTTAGCCAATCTATCAATTGTCCCTAGTGTGTTGTTGGAGATTTTAATTTTGTTCTTTATAATAAGGAGAAACTAGGTGGTAAATGCTGCTAGTCCTTCCCTCATTGGCCAATTTGTTGACAGCCTTCATAATTATAGTTTGTTAGACTAAGACTTTAAGAACTACCCTTTTACTTGGCAAAGAGGAAATCTGAAAGAAAGAATTGACAAAGTTGCAGCTAATGAGGATTGGTGCCTCTTGTTTCAAAATAGCAGTGTTATACATACTTCTATTCTAAAATCTAATCATACGAGACTTTGGCTTAGAATAAACTCTAAGGACAAGCAATCTTTCTCTAAAAAGCCCTTCAAATTCCTAGCCCACCTAGTGTCTCATCTTGATTTTCCTAATCAGATCAAAACATCTTGGTCTATTTCTTGTTCCTGGACTGAGATCATAAACAAATTTAGAGACTATATATCAGAGTAGAATAAGTTTATTTTTAGCAATATTTTTCATTAGAAAAATTATTTAGCAGAATTTAAGGAAATTTTTAAAAAAACTAACCTTTGGATAAAATCCTTTCCTTGTCAAGCTAATAAAATCCCTTTCGAAAGAGTATAATCAGATTTTGGAGTATGAAGAATTTTATTGGTACCAACATTACAGATCTAGGTGGGTTAAGCTAGGTGACAGAAACACTAGTTTCTTCTATAGAGTTGCTAGCTTTCGTAGGCATAGAAATATCATCAATGCCCTTAAGGATGAGGTTGGAAATGGGGAGTTCAATCCATCCAAATTAAAACATATGGCTCTGGATTATTTTAAGAATATTTGTCATAATTATTCCCCTAATGACTCTGAGCTCTTGACCCGTACATCCTTCCCTCCTCTTAGAGATTCTGATATTCAGAAGTTCTTAGCTACTCCCTCAATTGATGAGATCAAAGCCTCTCTGTTTAATATTAGAAATTTTGAATCTTTTGAGCCTGATAGTTTCCATATCTTATTCTTTAAAAATCAATGGTAGTCTCTTGCACCCATTATATATAATTTTGTTCTGGAAGTTTTTCAGGATCTTAGAAAAATTTATGTTGTTAATGAAATAGCAATTACTTTCATCTCCAAAGTTAAAAACCATGAAAGAATAAAAAGTTTTAGACCCATCTCTCTATATAATGTTAGTTATAAGATTATCACTAAACTTCTTGCCAATAGGATTAGGGATTCTCTACTCCATTTAATTTTTGCTAATCAGTCAAGTTTTATCCCTAGGAAACGGAGTATAGATAATGCAATTATCTTACAAGAACTAGTCCATTCTTTCCAAAATCTAAGGAGGGGCTAACTATATGATAATCAAGCTTGACTTGGAAAAGGCCTATGATAAGCTTAGGTGAAATTTTGTTTTTGACACTCTCCATAAAATAGGCCTTCATGCTAGTTTGGTTAGCCAAATCCAACACTCTCTTTCTACCTCTTCTACGTATATTAATTGGAACAATATTAATTCTAATTCTTTTACTCCTTCTAGGGGCATCTATCAAGGTGGCCTTATCTCTCCTTATATTTTTGTTCTTTGTATAGAAAGATTTTTTTCATCTACTTATGGATAATTTCTAATAAGGAATGAGACCTTTTTTCTTTTAGCTCCTAAGGACCTAAAATCTCTTATCTCCTTTTTGTTGTTGACTTAATTTTGGTCACTAAAGCTAACATTCAACAAGCTAACATGGTTAAAAATGTTCTGTCAAATTTTTGTCATGGCTCACGTTTACATGTAAATCATTATAAGTTTTTCCTATTATTCTCTAAAAACATTTATCCCTTTCTGTCTAAGTCCATCAGTGAATGTTTAGGGATCAAATCTGTTAGTCGGTTTGGTAAGTATCTTGGGATCCCTATTCTCCATCAAAAGCCCTTCATAATCCACTTTACCTCTATCCTGGACAAAATTAGGAAAAAATTAGCTACTTAGAAGATGAACTCCCTTTTTCTAGCTGGTAAGGTTACTCTAGTCCAAGCCTGTCTTATAACTATCCATTCTTATGTGATGCAATCTCTAATCATCCCCTCCTCTATTTGCAATGAAATTGAGAGCTTGTGCAAGAAGTTTATTTGGTGATCCTTGGGTAAAAATAAATGCCACCTTATTGGATGACAACATATTTTTAAACCTAAAAATCAGAGAGGTTTAGGTTTCAAAGATCTCCACATGTTTGATAAAGCCTACATGATGAAACTCTGCTAGAGGATGACTTCCTCTTCTTTTGATTTGTGGGTTCAGGTTTTGAGTCACAAATATAACTTTAGCCTTGGCCAACTCTTGGGTGGCAAGAAAGTCACCAAGTAGTCCTACCTCTGGAAAAACCTAATGAATGTCTGGCATCAATTTTTCTAGGTTGACTTGTTAGAGATGGTATGTCTATAAAGTTTTGGACTAATAGTTGGATTTTCCATACTGATAACCTGACTAATCATGCTATTATTCATGTTACTGACCTTGATCTTGACTCCCCTATTGCTTTATACGCTGGCCAAATGGCTGGGATTGGGGAAAAATATCTACCTCTCTGCCTGAGTGATGAATCCACAATTTATAGATATTTTGTCTAGCTTTTTATAGAATTTTAATATGAAAAATAGACTTAG